TGCTGCTGCCTGTAGCCTGCATTAACAAGCAGATTCTTTGTCCCCTGGGCAGGATCTCGCCTGCTTGTGGCTTGGCATCTTGCTCAGCCAGCAGGCTCTCCTGTCGGAAACGCGCCCGCTTCAGGCCAGTACTTGCCTGATGCGCTCAGCATGGACGTCCCAGTCCCTGCTCACTGCAGAGCGTGGCTCTGACGTAAATCAGTTCTGCAGCTGTCCCCAGAGGGCAAGGTGGGACAGAGACCGTTTAATGGGCCCTGGCTCCCCAGTTGGCTTGGCATCTTGCTCAGCCAGCAGGCTCTCCTGTCGGAAACGCGCCCGCTTCAGGCCAGTACTTGCCTGATGCGCTCAGCATGGACGTCCCAGTCCCTGCTCACTGCAGAGCGTGGCTCTGACGTAAATCAGTTCTGCAGCTGTCCCCAGAGGGCAAGGTGGGACAGAGACCGTTTAATGGGCCCTGGCTCCCCAGTGGGGCGGGAGGTCACTCCACGTCACCTAGACCAAGCCATGCTGCCAGGCGGTGCTCTGCCTGTCCTGTTTCCCTGAGATGGTGGAACTGCCCCTCACTCTCCCCCCTGCGGAGAGAAGTCCCTGGCTCTTGGTGAACTCCACAGATACTAGTGGAAAGGAGGAGCACGGTGGGTTCCGCTGCCTCGGATTGATGCCCGGGATCTGGTCCCGGGGAGATCCCATTACCCATCCCTGGGGCTGTCCCAGGGCCTCTGTCAGGTTCTGCTCGGTGCTCGGAAGGTCCATATAGCTGAGGAAGGAGCAGACGCAAAGTGGTTGGCCCTGTCTGTGCCTTTCAAGAGAAGGTTTGCGTCTCTTTGGAGGAAACCAGTAGCCGCAGCAGCACCTCTTCAGTTTTCCCTTTGGTGCCTGACAGCTCCAGCCTGGCAGTGGCATCTCCTTAGGCCTGTCACCTGGGTGAGAGTGCTTGGAGCCAGGACTCCCAGGCGCGCCTGTGTGCAGCGAGGGCTCTTCAGGACACTGGCAGGACCGGCCATTGAGGCAGGAAGGAAGGGCACTGCCAAGGGAGAGGGACTTGGAGGGTGGGGGCAGCTAGCCAGCCAGGGAGCAGGGTCCCGGGATCCCGTGCACCTCTTCTGCAGCACTGGGTGCAGTCTGCAGCTTCCTGCGCCCTGCCTGACAGGAGGGTGTGATCTCGCCAGAAGAGTTCTCTGTCACTGCTGTGCAGTGCTGAACCATGGGGCCAGGCCCCCCGGCTGAGGGGTTACACCAGAAACCGGGCTCTCCACAGGCCTGACCAGATGAAGGGATGATGAACTGGATTTGTGTGCGAGTGTTACCAGCTGCCCTGCTGGGATTGGACAGGGATGTTTGGGCTCAATGGGCCTTTCTCCAAAGTGGAGGGGGATTTGGGGTTTGCTCAGGGCTGTGATTTTTTTTGTCTCCCTTGTGTGCAAAAGGCTAACAAACTGTTTGCAAAGGCTGTTAATCTTTGTTGTATTCATCAGGCTTAAGAGTGCATGGGGCGTTCTCCTTGGACTGTTCCAGCCACATACTCCCTGGTTGCTTTCACTCCTGCTCATCTGTGTAAGAGGGAGAGGTGTCACCTTGCTGACAGACTAATACAATATCTGACGCATCTTTAGAGTTGTTGGAGAATTTCTCCAGCCGCTGCTTCTGCCTCTCTGAAGATGCCCTACTGCAGAGATTTTAAATAGCAAGGGAAGCCAAGAATTAGGTGTCATTTCTTTGTGTTTGTGTCTCCTATTTAGATTCGCCAAGACCTAGGACTGACCAATCACGTGCCTTTATTGAAAAAGTCGCTGGAGCAATTTGTATATCGAGTCAAAGCCATGTTAGCCTTCAACCACTGCCATGAAGCGTTCTGGGTGGGCATCCTCAAAAACAGGGACCTGCAGGTAAGGATGGCAATGCCGCCAATCCCGTGTAAGAGGGCCCCTCCGCCCCCGCCCCCCAGATACTGTCACAGATCCGGGACATTGCTCCTTTCTTCCCTCTCCATGGCACAGCATGGGCACCCACTCCCCAGCCATCGCCTCTCTTGGCTGAAGGCCCACATATCTTTTCTGCCTGACGGTCCGGGCCGCCCAGCCTGTGCCTGCACGACACACTGGCCCCACATGCCTGCATTGCCTTCTCAGGGCAGGAGAGCGAGGTCACCACACACACTCCCAAGCAAGCCTGGTGGCTCCGAAGGAGAATGTTACAGAGCAAACGATAAAAGAACCTACGCACGGCGCATGAGCTCACCAGGGACCCCCCAGCTCAGCAGATAGGGCGGAGCCATTCGGATCCCACCCATGGCTTTCTGCAGTCACTGGCTGGCTGAGAACAAGCAACCCAGGGCTCTCCTCTGGAAAGGAGCCAGGCACAGACAATGGGTCTCTCCGCAGGGCGCTGACTACCCCTCCTTTCCCATGGCTGCCTGGCGCTTCCACTTGCAGAAAGGGCAAGGGCCACTTGGGGGCCCCAAACCTCATTTCATCATTTTTAAAACTGCAGAGGCCAAGCCTGGCCCTTTTCTGCCCCCAGCCCCACTGCAGGGAATCAGGACATGAGGGGGCAGCTCGTCTCTGCCAGGAAATCTCCTTTTGCCTTGTGTTCCAGCAGGGTCGCTATTGCTGCTTTGTGCCTGAGTCTGTATTTACCCCGGTCACTGTAGGGAGAAGAGATCCTGTCTCAGGAGTCTGAAGAGAATGACCCAGGGCAGGAAGTTTCCCAGCTCCCCAGCGAAGATCCTGCTGAGGTATTTCTGTACACGGCAGCAGGGTCGGTCTCTCCCTTGCTCAAGTAGGGCCGTGTGTACTCCGGGGCAGCGCTTTCTCACCATATTAATCCTGCTGCTTGCCGAGAAACGCCTCTTAGGAAAAGCGACAGCAAAGCCCTTGGGTTTTGTTGGCTGAGTTGACACGCTGGGCGCAGCAGAATCCCTCTTGCTGCTGTTCTCACCAAATGCAAGTTGCTCTCAAATGTTTGCTCTGCATTTTGAGTTCAGCCTCCTGGCTGGGTGAGGAGGCCCCAGGCCATGGTAAGTGCATCAATAGGGAATGCTCAGCTTTGCTCCAGATCAGCTGGGCAGAACGGGGTGGCACGTCCGGGCCTGAAGTGAAACTAAAGAATGTGGAGATGAACCACAACTGGGACCCCCAATCAGCCGTTTTCCTTTCTGGCTTCCGGAAGCCAAAGACGCTCCAGTCCCTTGTGTGCCTGCTGGGCAGGAAGAAGACGGGTCCCTGGGGACTCACTGAAGTGAGAGCTGGAAATGCCGTGTTAGGCCACGTTCTGCCCCTCTTCCTGCTGCATACGCCCAGCGGCAGACGTTGGCTACCTCCTCCCCCCTCCCCCGCCCGCTTCTGCAGGCAGGAGCTCCAACCAGCCCCAACCCTTTCCCAGGCACCAGCCTCTAGAAGCTTGTGGTGGTGTTTGCACACACACATACTCGCTCTGTCTCACACACACATGCACATACACACACACATGCTCTGTCACACACAGACATGCACACACTTGCTCTCACGCACAGGCTCGCTGTCACACACAAGCACATGCACGGTCTGTCACACACATGTGCGCACGCTCTGTCTCGCGCACACTCACGTGCACACGCTCGCTGTGTGTCACACACAGATGGGTTTCTCTGCCTATTCCCCACCTCTGGCCTGAGTGCCCCTGTTGATTAGGACAGTGATTTCTCTGTCTCCCCTCTCTCCCCTTTCCCCGGAGGGCAGGCCTTTGTTGGCGTCCAGCTGGAGTGGCTCTTCCCAGCAGCGCCTTCTAGCAGTAATCTCGAGTGGCAGGGAATGAGCTCCAGCCAAACCGTGTTTACAGAACAGATTCATGGACTGCATGGCCGCTGTGACCCTCTCCTCTGACTTGGAGCGTGCAGGCCACAGAACTGCCCCACAATAATTCCGAGCAGAGCTGTTAGAAAAGCAGCCGGTCCTGGGTTAAACATTGTAACTGGAGCCATTCTTCTCAGCGACAATCAATTGCTCTCCCCTTATTTCCAGTCTGAATGTGTCTGAATACGTCTCTCCCCTCGGCCTAAGAGCCCGATGAAGTGTTTGTTCCCCGTTAAGTAGTAATGGGTTGTGATCGAGTCAGCCCTTACCCTTCTCTTCATCAAGCTAACTCAGATGAGTTCCCTGAGACATGTCTCCTAATCTTTTCATCATTCCCGTTGCCACCCAGCCCCTCTTCCTGCCGGTCAGGGGGGCAGTGCCACGTCCTGCAGGGGCAGAGCGCCACGCTGGCCAGGTTTGGAGCTCAGGCAGGAGACTCTGCCCTTTCCCTCTGGTTCCCCGGCGGCTTCTTCGCTCAGCACTGCCGCCCACTCGCACGCCTGTGGGCCGTGCCACCGCATTGCCAGATCAGCTCGGAAATGTTTGTGAGCTGCTGAGTTATGGGTCACCTACAAGGAATCATGGCGTTTGACCTCTACTCCCACAATTCTCCAGGGCCAGAGTAGGGGTGTTAAGTATCGGTTAACTGAACCGTCGTTTAGTCAACTATGCTACAATCCCTGGGGGCGGGGCCAGCAGCCAGTGCTCTCCGGCCCCCCTCTGGAGGAGAGGCAGCAGCGCGGGGTGCCGGGCGGGAGCTGGTCTGTGAGGGGAGCCAGTTTAAAAACCAGCTCCCCTCGTGGACCAGCTGCCTGTCACCCTGTGCTGTTGCCTCTGATACAGAGGCAGCAGCATGGGCGTGCAGCGCGGGGTGCCGGGCGGGAGCTGGTCCTAGAGAGAAGCCAGTTTAAAAACCAGCTCTCCTCATGGGACCAGCATGTGCTGGAAGTGAGCCGGGCTCCCTGCCTGGCTGGCTCCCAATACACTTTAAAGGCAGAGCCTCAGCAGGGGTAGGTCCCGGACTCGTCACAAGCCAGGACTCAGCCAGGCTGCTAGCCAGCCTGCTAAAAAATGTACTGGCAAGGGGGGAGGGAGGTGCAAGCCAGTTTAAAAACCAGCTCTCCTCATGGGACCAGCATGTGCTGGAAGTGAGCCGGGCTCCCTGCCTGGCTGGCTCCCAATACACTTTAAAGGCAGAGCCTCAGCAGGGGTAGGTCCCGGACTCGTCACAAGCCAGGACTCAGCCAGGCTGCTAGCCAGCCTGCTAAAAAATGTACTGGCAAGGGGGGAGGGAGGTGCATGTAGTCAAGAACGTTAACCTATAAGCTTTTGCTTAAAATCTTATCAGCTTAAAATCAATTAACCTCTTGCCTTTGCTTATCGGTTCATTGATTACACTGTTCCATCCCTAAGCCAGAGCATCCTGCAGCGCCCAGAAAACCCGTCATTGAGTGGACTGAGGGGTGCAGTCAACAGAGATACAGGTCCAGAAGCCTTGTGGCTCAGATCGGTGCTAGCAGCGTGGGTGGGGGTGACATTTCCTGGAGCTATGCAGCACGGATGCCCTGCACGGTTTGTGGAATTTATGCCCAAAGTGGCTGACGAGTACCACCACTCGGTTCTAGTACAGACAAAGCCCATACCAGAGAAGAATTGGCCCTGTTTTATGTGGCAGACCACCCTGAATCGCCAGTATTCAGCGTACTCTTAGGAGGGCTGGGTCAGTCTGTGTCTGCAGACTCGTGCGTTGCGCCCAGTCCTTGGTTCTGGATGTTTGTCTTCTCTTTTCCAGGAGGAAGGGGACGCTTCAGGGAGCGAGGGTGGATCTGACACCAAAGATGATGATGAAGAGAGCTCCGAATAGACTTTGCAGCCTCCCAGCATGCTGTTAGCTCACCATGGCACAGCTGCTTGTATTGGCCAAAGCAAGCCATGCCTGGCACAGCTGAACAGACTTTGCACCCAGCCACATTGAAAGTCAGACCTAGAAGCGTTTTATTTGTCCTTGCCTCCAGCCCCTCCAACACCCTTTTCCAGTGGAATGCCTTCTCTGCTCTGCCGCTGCAGGCATGGCCACTCTGGCTTTCTGTCTCGTGTGTTAGTTGCCAGGGTAAGAAGTGATATTTATGGAAAGGGCCTGCCCCCTTGTACAGTATGGACGAACCTCCCTCCCCTCAGCAGTCCAGTAGGGGCCTGGATGCGCATGCCCTTCTTACCTTCGCCCTTTCCTGGAAGGGAAGAAGCTTGTGGGGGTGGTTGGGATGCAGGGAGGCTTCTCACCCTTGTAACTTACACACAGCTGCCTGTCTACTAAGGCACTGAATAAACTGAAACCCCTGCCCTGGATAGTGGAACCAGTGACTGCAGTGTAGGGGTGCACCATAGAGCTCTGCGGGGACCAACAGCTCCCACCTCACTGCCTTTCCCAGGGCTGTGCCTGAAGGGGTGAGGGGCAGCCTGGGCTGTGCTGCATGGAGGTGTGAGGAGTGGGTTAGCACTAGCT